TATTATATATACTTATATAATAGAATATATATATATTATACATTATATATATATATATATATTTAATATATATATATATATATATATTATATATTATATATATATATATATTATATATATATATATATATATAATATATATATATATATATATATAATATATATATATATATATATATATATATATATATATATATAAATGTTTGTTTTCTATGAGGTCAGTATGGGCAGGCAGTTTCGTTTCAAGTATGCAAGTACTTCAGAACATTTTGGATAAAATGGGGGTTAATAAAAATAATAAATAAAAAATAAATAAAATATTACCTGAATTGTGGGATCTTGCTGATCTCCTGCTTTTCTCTTCACTTCATCATCTGAATTATCTGTGGAGTGAACACTTACTTCTTCCTCACTCTTCTCTCCATTCTCTTCTACTTTATCTTTATTTTCCACTTCCTCCTCCTCTTCCTCCTCTGTTTTTGCCTCATAATTTTCTACCTCATCTCTCTTTTCTGTTGTCTCCTTTTCAATTATTCTCCTTTTCTTTGGCTTGATTTCACCTCGAGACCAAGCACTTCTATATCTCCTTTTGCGTCGTCTGTGAATATCCCCTGTTGTCTTTGCCTGCTGATCTGTGAAACAATATGGAACACTATGAGTAGTGACATGAATACAAAGTTTAACAACATTTACTATGCATTACTGCTGCATTTGAACAGAAATTTCTACCAATTTCTCTTACCTATATCGCAGGGTTTCCAGGCCTAGTCTAGCAAGTCTTGTGTGCCTTTTAATCTTTCTATATCTATCAACGTTCACTGTCACTGAACACTAAGAAATCCAATGTGCTATTCCTCTATTTCCTCTCTCTATTTAAAAACAAAACAGGACCAACTTCTTGCTCCATAATTCTAATGAAAATGGTGAGTTTATACCATCTAATATTTTCTGGGTCTGTATTATCACAAAGGTCGTCATCAAAAGGAAATCAAGACCACAAAACATATAAAAGTATGCACATCCGTATATAATTTCCTATACATATAATTCAAATCAATATGACACATTCCAGCAAAATGGCAATGCCAGAATACATATTTCATGAAAACTTTCAATATACCATTAGTCTCATGAAAGGAAAATTCAGTCTTTAAAGATTTGTATACATGCAGTACATCTGGTAAAAAATAAATATCTCTTCCTTCCTTTTCTTTACCCAAACAATTTTAATTGCAGATAAAAAATAGTTTACCAATTTACTAAAGAAATAAAAATGTAAGAATAACTTGAGATCATTAAAAAAGCAATTTCATACTAATATTACAGAAACACTGACAGAATTCTATGCATTTTTCTTTTCTTATTAGTCTTCTTGACTGACAAGTGCACAACATTGTTCTTACCTGTTCTGGCCGTGTTGTGTGTGGTGTTACAGGTTCTGATTGTCTACCTGTCTTCACCTCTTCAACCTGGAATATAATTTACATTTGACAATTAACCCCTATGATCCAAAAGAAAGAAAAAAAAAAGAAAGAAAGAAAGAAAAATATGTGGTGAACATACAATCATGGGAACATTTGGCTTTGGGCTGGGGTGAGACTCACTATGAGTACACAAACCTCTCAGAGGGTGATTAGATTCATTTGGCATTAAGGATGGGGGTTTTGCACTGTTTCCTTTATTTGCCTGCCATGACTGGCAATGCAGGTTGTATTACAGAAAATTGAATCTTATGAAAACAGGACAAATAAAAAATGCTGCTTTTGGTATCATATGCATGCTGAGTTATAGAATTACTTAGAGGAATGATATAGAGTCTGTGCAAAGAAAACAGTATATCATCATCTGGATAAAGCATATAAACCCATTAGTGACAGGTGTCCCACATATGAGACACCCGAAAAAATAAAATTGCTGGGCGTCCCGCCGTGTGACACTGTATCAGGGCTTGTGCTCCGACACAGCAGCAGGCCGCGGCCGGCAGGCGGACAGACTCCGGGGAAGCTCCGCCCGCCAATTTTGTAGGCGCCCAGAATATTTTATTTTTGGCTTCAAAATACCCCAGCTTGAATGAATTAAATGACAAATATAGACATTGGAAAATGGCAAAAAGAAGCAGCAGTAGTAGAAGAAAACACTGATAACAAAAGACAAAATAACATTGGAAAGGGGAGGCATGGCGTCTTGTCAAAGTGTTTGTTTATAAACTGCAAACCCAGCCTAATTATATTTTAACCCACTAACGACAGATGAGACACCCGAAAAAATAAACATTGCCGGGCATCCCGCCAGTGTGATGCTATATCAGGGCTTGCGCTCCAACGCAGCAATTGGTAACCATCCGGAATCTTTTATTTTTGGCTTCAAAATATACCGGCGTTAATGGCTTAAGCAGTGAAGCATTTTGATCCATTGGGTTCAATTTATTTTAAAATAAAAAATACTAAGCTGTATAACATTTCTATACCATGAAGAAGCATAAAAGATAATCTATGCACAAAGAATAGAATTATTGTCTTATGATATGTACCATGATATGTAATCTATCAGCCATTAGGGGTGGCCACTTGTGAAATTTGTGAGCAAACCTATAAGGAAAGGCATACAGTCTCAAATATTGTATTAACCCATTGGCGCCAGGTGTCACGTACGTACCTGCCATGGCTGTTGTGGACCAAACACTGGGGGCATAATGCCATGCCCATTCCTGCGCTACTGGCTCGTTGGAAGGAGGTCGTTTTTCTCCACTAGTAGCGGCTTCATTTATATGGTAAAGATTTTAAGCAATGGCACCTAAAGTGAAGGTAAACCTTCAAAATTTTAATATTTTTATAAATTATAGCAAAATAAAAGCTTTTAGGTGCTATATGTCGCTCGCAAAGTACCAATCGAGCCGGGCGCAAACAGGGGAAACTGCCAGTGCGCGCCAACAAGCCGGTGCATACGTAAACTTGACAAAATTTTTACCCGTCGCTGATGTGTTAATACACCTTAGAAACTCTCAGTAAAACAATTTACTCTAAAATCAAAGACATTAGATAATGTTATTCAACCTTTTGTAGCTGCTTTATCTAACAGGTGACCAAAAGTATTGCCACTGTTTTCAACTGCACAAGATTGTTCTAAAATCTTACGTCAAGTAATTATTTGGCTGTTTAACTACTTTCAACTCACCATCTACAGTATAGCTGCCTCCCCTTACCCCTAAAAGAACCTTCCTCAAAATCAAAAACCTCCTTAGACTATCTAAAATATGGGGGGGAGAGGGGATTCACCACAGTCTTAATTAATGCTGTTTTTGAAGATACTGCATATGGGCCTTTTATGAGGGAGATTCATCCCAAAGGGTAATATCCAACTTTCCTCTATAGTGAGCAAACGTTAAATAAAAAGCTTCAATTAACATCCCAGTACAATGAAGCTGGTTATCGTTCCTCAAACAACAGTGTCAACATATGAATAAGAGCAGTGGTTCTTAACCTTTATAGTGACAGACCTCTTTAAGAATCTGATGAAAGCTATGGACTCTCTTCCCTAGAAAGAATCCCATAAAGACAACTTTGCATTCAATGTGTATAATGAAATTTATTAAGAGATTTGAATATCTTATACTTGTTTGAGATATGCAAAGTATTATTAAACTTTAAAATAAACAATCTGAAATAAACACTCCTCCTTTTACGTAAAAAAAAAATTATTTTCATCTGATGATCAAGGATCCCCTGAAACCCTTCCATGGAACCCCTGGAGGTCCATGGATCACACGTTCAGAACCCCTGAATTAGAAAATCATTCCTTGTGTAAATTATTTTCATACACCCATGTGGTGTGGTGTATGATGCCTTCACAGAGAATTAAAACTGATGACAGATTAAAGCACTATCTTGCCTTTACCAGAATTTTTGATAAGAAAGATTAAACCAAAGCCAATTGCAGACTCACTGTAACCTTTGGTGGCGCCACAATGATAAAGCTGGGTGTACTCTTCTGGACAGGATCCGAGTATATCTTCTTCCGTTCTGTGCGATTATCTCTTATGTCTCTGCAGCGATCTTCAAAGTCTGTGTCCATCTCTGCTTTTATATAGGCATAAGCAGTATCTCGAAGAGTACAGGCTCGATGACGGATTATCTTATCTAAGAAAAACAAAATAAATTTCATCTATGTACTTGGGACACTTCAATTTTAATAAATAACTGTCATGTAAAAAACATCTATATATCAACAGATTTTCCTTTGATTCTTCAATACTTCTTCATCCTCAACAGTGTGGTTAAACTATCAAACTTCTTCAATGCTATTTGTGATTTACAAATTACTACTTGTATTTTGGTGATGTTTAAATATTTAGTATAATGTTGATAAAAAGGACATTCATAAATGCAGGTACTCCTGTTTAACTTCCTTGCATAACAACTGAAAATACTCCAATATGATCCAAACTATAAAAAATGTTCAGCTTCTAAATCACTTTAAAAATAACTTTCTTAAAACAGCCATGAAAACTCTTTCTACCCATTAATACAACTATACACATCAATACAGAATTCTAAACTATTGGTCATTATCATCTATGACAAACCTTCAGGATTCTTGTCTGGATTGTATTCCAGAGCATTGTTGCAGATCAGATCAATGTCTCTCAAGAATTCCTGAGCACATTCATACTGGTGCTGATCGATCTTGGTCATCATTGTCTCAAGATCCATTGGTTCTTTGATAATCTCACGATAGTCAGGCACCTCCTCTTCATCTACAGGTTTTGTGAATATATAAAACCTGAAAATAAATACAAATCCAATGTATCATCTTTTTAAGCAAATGTTAAGCAAACTTCTGGTGACATGACCATCCCTTCATAAAAAATTTGGCTTGAGGGGTAGGTGACTTGAACAAGCCATCATGGGAAAAAATGGCTTTAGGCCATGTGACACGAACTTGCCATACTCAGCATCCTATTCCTAGCTGCCACGAATAGCAACACAAGTTGTATTACAAAAAATTGAATATTACAAAAAAATATAAACAACGAAACAAGTAAAAAACATTATAATTCTTTTTCTTGCACTGAGAAATTGACTACCTAGAGAGATGATATGCAGTCTGTGCAAGGAAAACAGTCAAGTACCACCTGATAAAGCAAATTAAATTATAAATATGGATAAAGGAAAATAGCGAAAAAGCTTAAAACACTTCTGCCTAAAGAGAAAATAACATTGCAAGGGGGAGGTATAGTCTTGTCACTGTACATGAGTGTTTATGTGCGCTTAACTTACAAGCCACACAACCGGCAGAATGGCCACTTATATAAGCCTAATGCACATATTTTGGTCCATGTGACTGCTGTAAATCAACTGGATCCAATAAAACCTCAACTGAATCTTCCATAGCAAATACTGAACCAAGTTACACAAGGTTTAGTTTTAGGTCCAACATACAATTCATACTTACGTTTTATTTCTAGCTAGCTTGGCACATATTTCCCGAAGGAATATACGCAGTTCCCTGAGTGTGGCCTCTTCAATTTCTTCTAATTTTCTTATCTCTTTGCTAGTAAGTTGCCGATGTGCAGGTGCAGGTGCCACAGGCAGCTCTTCCAACTTTTTCCTGCCATTTCGGACCTAAAGAATAGGATAATTTGGAGACACTGGATCTTAAGTAACTAATAATATACGTTCATATATCTCTCATTCATCACCCCATTATTCATCATTTCACTCTTTCATCACTGACAATTTATAGATGCATTGTTAATTGTGTTTCATTCTTTCTTTATTTGGGTTAAAAAAATGTATGCCTTTGTCCACATGCATATGAAAAAGTAACAAGAAATAAAAAAGAAACTACAATGTTAAATTTAATACAAATAAAAGAACATATAGATAATCAATCTGGCACTTGCATGACATAAATACTCCCATAAAAGACAAAGGGAACACTATTGTCACGTGACATACGTAAACAATAATAAATACATAAACTACAATAAAAATCACTATTACTCATAATTAACCACCTTTTACTCTGTAAAAAATCCATCCAATAATATTGAAGTAATGTAATTGATGTCCTTCAATTAAACATCTTTAAAAAGCATATCAGAATTGCATAAAAATACCTTTGGCTTCTGAAGCATATTTGTGTAAAATAAAGGCTTGAAGTATTGCTGTCTCTCTTCCTCACTGGGATTAACCATTGTCATCACTTCTTCCCTATAAACACTGAATAACATCTGGACCTGAAATTATAAGTTTAATTTAGACTAAAATTATAAAACACAAAACAATTATCTAGCATTCAGACCTAAAATACACAAGGTCTGCCACTCATTATCTCTGTATCAAAAGCTTTTCATTAATACTGTCTTCAATCACACAGCAAAACATTAAAATTAAAATTATCCAACAACCTCCTCATCCAGATCATCATATGGAACATCAGCTGTGGCAAGCAGCAAGAGAGGGGCTGTGGGATCTAGATCCAACAGCAATGACAGGAAGGTAGCCCGCAATGTTTCAGATGTAGTTCCCCACCACTGATCAATGTGTGGAACATACACGATGCTTGGTAGATTCCGCCGAGCTTCATGGAACACCTATGTGAAATTTTCAATTAAACATCTCGATAAAATGACAAAAGATTCAATTTGTGTGCCTTTATAGAATTGAAATTGTTAAATACACATAATGGACTATCTAATGCTCAAAATAAGAAATAAATACATATACATAAAATATCTAAACAGATTTTCGTTTCATGATTCACCTGTGCACACGCTTCTTCTGGTGCTCTTGCTGATACCGAGTAAAGGGCTGCCAGATCAAGCTTGTGAGTGGGGACCTTCTCTAAGGAATGGATGATAGCTGGAGCAAGGTGTGTGCTCTGTCCCTGTGTCCTCAGTCCAGTCAAAAGTAGTCTCGGACGGTGGGTGCTACGATTCTTTGCAGCAAGCTTGGACTTGACAAAGGCATGAGGGAAGCTTTCTTTCAGGAGAGCTAAGCTCCTGTTAAGAGAGGACTGAACTAGTGGCTGTATATTGGAGCTGAGACGTCGTCCCACTCCAGCGGCAGACCTTTGTCCAGCTGGCACTATTTTGGTCATTGCCAACCTAAAGTGAGCGACTTTTATCTGTAAGAATATACAGAGTATCAAAAGCTATTCTGTGCATCATAGAGAAAACAATTATATATCACTTAAAGACTGAATAATTACATTTACACAGAAAAAGTTTTTTTCTTTCTTTTTTAGAGTAGCATATTAATAAATTCTATTATGAATCTCTCAGTTTCTTACAGTGATCTTTGAAACATCAATGAGGAGCTTCTGTTTTGCCGAGTAGATCTGAGGAAACTTCCCCCTTAGTGCTACTAAAGCTGCTTCAGCACACAAGCTCTTGATGTCTGCACCACAGTAACCAGTAGTCTGCTCAGCAAGGTAGTGAAGCAAACGCTGACTTGGTAATGGTTCCCAACTCTTTGTGTGGATTTTAAGAATTTCCTGCCGTGCCTGATGGAAGAAGGTGATACACCAAGTGTTATGATGACCAAATCAAACTCCAAAAATTCTATTCTTTTTTGGAAGTAGCGACTATAATCCTAACTGCAACTAACATCAATGAGAGTATTTTGTAATAATAATTAATACTTATAAAAAATAGCTAAGACTGCTGATGAAAATAGTAAGAACAATAAGAATACTGTAATAATAATAGTAACAATAGTAATAATAATAATAATAATAATAATAATAATAATAATAATAATAATAATAATTACAGCAACAACAACAACAACTATAATGATAATAAGTTTCACGGGTGGGTGTGTGGGGGTTAACAACAGTGGTACAAGTATCATCTTGACTTACCTTAGCTGATGGCAGAGGAAAATGAAACTCCCGGTCAAAACGGCCTGGCCTCCTGAGGGCAGGATCAATGGCGTCAATCCTGTTAGTTGCTCCAATGATGACAACCTCCCCTCTGGAGTCAAGACCATCCATGAGAGCTAAAAGCGTTGATACAATACTGGAATGGATTTGATCTTGTCGTGATGATCGTACAGGAGCAAGACCGTCAATCTCATCAAAAAAAATTATGGATGGACGCATCTGATAGGCCTAGGGATTAAAGGTAAATTACATTAACATCAACTTTCCTAAAGATGCTTATTGGAGACATAAAAGCACTTAAAGAAACAAAAAAACAAACAAAAACAAAAAAACAAAAAACATTCTAAAGGTGGTAAATTATGAATTTTAAATAAAACAATCAAAACAAATATTTGTGCAGGCTTAATTTTGCATATCAGAGAACTAAAACACACAAGAATATTGATAATTTTTCTTTTTGAGTTTTATTACCTGATCAAAGAGAAGTCTAAGTTGCCTTTCTGACTCTCCAACCCATTTGCTAAGACAATCTGCTCCCTTACGCATGAAGAAAGCAACCTTTTTGTCAGGAGCACTGCATTCATTGGCTAAAGCTCTTGCGACTAAAGTTTTACCAGTTCCTGTAATATATTACAGTTCTATCAATATCAATAAAATTTGATAAAAAGTGATCTTGTAAAGATTAACCTTTTTGTCGTAAGTATATGCCCTGTCCACAATATTTTTCTCTCTTAATTTTGTTTACCCAGAGATGGCACTGATGTGCTCAGTCATCAAGAAGTCAAATACTAAGCCAAATTGATCTCATTTGTCAACCCATTCATTGAATATAATTACCTGTTCACCACATTTCTTGGATTTTTCAGAAAATATACAATATTCATTCAGAAGAAAAAAGTAATACTATTACATATTTACCCAATTTCTTGATAAAAATAAAAAGTTACATTACCATTATTGTTATTCTTATAATCATTATCATTGCCATTATCATCAATTTTAACAATAACAATGAAACAAAGCTTTTCTTAGAAAAAACAATGAATTGGGTAAACATAGGAGAGCAGTAATTGATTTCTTGGTCAACAAAGCACATGTGCAATCTGAGAAAAAATCTTATAAGCTAAAATCATAGTAAAAATGGCTTGCACACATGCTCTCCTTGCCTAAATGGATTGATAATTTCTAATAATGATATATTCCCAGAAAAGAAGGAGGAGGAGGAGGAGTTGAAGAAAAAAAGGAAGAAAGAAAGCATATGGTAGCTCTTATCTAGTGTGAAAGACTAGCAATCAGATCATCACTTCTTAGAGAAATAAAGATTTTAGAGACAACCCAGAGTAGTAGTTCTTGATAATTTTGCATTTTGCACATGATGTCAATATCTGTCCTATAGCTTAACAATGAGCAGATATTGAAAAACCCTACCTGGTGGGCCATAAAAGAGGACACCCCTTGGTGGAGTGATCTTAAACCTCTCAAAAACTTCGGGATACACAAGAGGAAAGATGATCATCTCCTTGAGGGCCTTTACATGGTGGGCAAGGCCACCCACAGAGTCAAAATTAACGCCTCTGTCTACTGACATTGGATCAATGTCAGCTAAACTTGTTCCTATCTTCTCTCTATCCCTGTAAACAAAAATAAAATAAAATAAAATAAATAAATAAATAAATAAAAAACATGCATTATCATATAATACATATACGTAACAGATACCATATGTAGATATATATACACAATTTATTTTCATATATCCCTCACTTAAATATGACACCAAGGAAAAATGTATTTCTACGACTTAAAATATACAAAGCTGGAAAGGCATGGGAAGGAAAAGAAAATAGGCAGCATACCAAAGATAAAGAAGAGAAGTAAAGGAAACACGCTACTAATAAGAAAATAAAAATAAGAGACCAGGAAGGGGCAGGGGGACCGAGATACAGACATTGACAAGAGGTTTTACAAAAGCCATGTATGTGCCATCTACTTACTTTAAGGCACCTGTAATTAAGTCATCAGGTTTGACATTCATGGGGAGGCAGCGGTTGCGAGATTTAGCCATACTTCTCATTTTACTCTTTTCGAAGTGGCTCTCATCTGAACTACTGCTGCTACTTGATGAATTGTGTGCAGCCTATGAAAAAAAAATATTATAATATAACAATTGCCATTTCCCCTCAAGATATTTCAAGATTACAAAAAAAAATAATAATAATAATAAAAAAAAAAAAAAAATAATAATAATAAATAAATAAATAAAAATAAATCATTGACATATCCTTACCCTTACCCTCCGCTTTAAGTGGAACATGTGCTTCCTTGCTGGAGAATTGACATATCTCTTGCGATTTCTGTGATGTCTTCTTGGTGGCGTGTCCTCTCTGTAACTTCTGGACCTAGACGATTTCTCTGATGGATAAGGGAAACATGATATTGCTAAAGCTTGAAAATGTCTGAACTTTTCTTTAATGAGGATCTCATCTCTGGTCAGTGACCCTTACCCTTTGTTCAATAAGATCAATATAAATATATAAATAAATAAATATATGCAATATGTTTTGGAATTTGCCTGCTAAACACTAGAAAATAAAGTGTTAGTAACTCATGTCCTAATATAACTGGAAATCCTTGAAAAGTAATCCTGTGTAAACATACCTACTGAAGATAATTGGAATGGTCTGATTTCTCTTCTGTTTTGTCTGAGTGAATATCGATTTCCATTCTGCTCCTCATTCTCCTCTTCCTCATCCTCATCCTCTTCTTCTTCCTCATCTTTATCATTATCACTCTCGTCAGAGGAGGTTACACGTTTGCGAATTCTCCTTGTGTTAACTTCCTCCTCTTCCTCTTCATACATAAAGCGCTTCACAGGCCGTCTCTCCCTCTTCACTCGTGGATAGAGATCTTCAAACTAAAGGAAGAGGATTTTTAAGAATGATATTTTGCAAAAACTGTAAACTTCGTCCTACTTCAGGCAGATTTTCCTTTAAAAATCTATACTTACCCTTCTTACATCTAAGTTGGAATTGTGGCTTTTACAAACTTGTGTAAATTCTTTTTCAATAAATAATATGTACAAATTCTGTCTATTGTGTACAGTGGCATTCAAAAGTTGAAACAACAACATCCATCAAGAAGAGTTGCACAACTGAAGAAAATTAGTGTCACATACCGGAACTTTTGAGGCCAAAGCACGAGCAATAATTGGGTCCTGAGCACCATACTTTCTGCTCTTCCTTGGTGCTGGTCTTACAGGTGGAGGTTCCTCCTCTTCCTCTTCTTCTTCCTCCTCCTCCTCTTCTGTGTCCTCAATTTTCCCTCCTCCTGCTTCAAGTGAACTTCTTGTTGTGCGCCTCATCTGTGGCATTTCATCATCATCGTCGTCCTCCTCTTGATTTTTACCCTCTTCATCATCCTCTCCATTAGCAACTTCTTCACCTTTTCCTTCTTTGTATCTCACTTTGACTTTATCAGAGCCTTCAGTACATTTCCCATCAACACCCTCGTCCTCTTTAGTTTCATCATCAGCCATCTCTTCCTCCTCTTCCTCCTCTTCTTCAGAAACTGGTTTGACTTGAGCTGCATGTCTGGTAAGCATTTTTCTACCAGTTTCCTCTTCTGAATTATCTTCCCTGGAAAAGGACACATATAATTACAACAAACTATCAAGCACTGAGAATTTGATAATCATTACTAATGGGAAGTAGATGAAATTAATATCTAACGGTATGTCTATACACTGGTTATTACGTATTTAAAGGAAAGTTAAAAAATATATATATATATATAATTATAATAATAATAATAATAATAATAAAAAAAAAAAAAAAAAAAGGGAGTTTAATCCCGAGTTACCCTCACACAAAAAAGGCCAATGGCACACTTAAGATCTACCCAATCCAACTAGCCCCCAATCCCCAAGAGATTCTCTGCCTAGATGTCCACATTAATGGTTCAACAGCAAAAAATGAATAATCTTATGCACTGAAAATTTCAAACGGAAGCAAATATTCCTGCAGGAAGTAAATAGTCCTGAAATATCTGCCCACCTCCCTTTACCAGAAGGGAGCACAACCTTTTCTAAATTTTGCATCAGCAATTATGTATTTCCCACTCATAAATATTCTTTCAAAAGGACTTTCATATGCACATTTCACAATTGTGAATCAGCTGAAAATCGAATAATATGAAAGTTTTTACACTATCATTAAAATGCTGATCTTTACTTCTGCACACTGAGTCTCTTTACCTGTATCTCCTAAGTGGATGAGACCTCCTGCTTCTGGATAGATCAGTCTCATCATCTGAGGGATCACTTTTGGGCACCCTGAGACGTCGGTTTGGCTGTCGAGTCCTGGGTCCAAGAGAACAAAATTCTTGCTCACTGGTTTCTGTGTACTTCCGCAGTCTCCTGCGCCTTGGTTCTATATTTCCACTGTGGAACCTTGACCTACCCCTAGTACCTTCATCTTCATTATCACCTTCAGAATCAATATACCTACAAAAAATATATTAGAGAATTCAGTAAAAGATATCTATGACCTTCATAAGATTACTATTTGTTTAAGAATTTCTACTTAGAATAATTAGGTACATGATCATTTATGAAAAGTTCATTATCTAATTTCATATACAGTCTACCTAATTTCATATACAGTCTACCTTCCCAAGCATTTCCTTTGCTACATACAACTGTTTTATTTGGTCACTCCAATATCCAATATCTTATACTCATTAATTCAAAATTCACACAAATGGGTAAATGACCAAGCGAGATGTCATATCATTAGCAGTTAGGGTAAATTATCACAAATTCTTTTAATCCTTTAGGTCAGAATAGGTAACTTACTTCCGCAGTTTACGAGATGGTCGGGGCTCTTCATTCTCAGGCTCTGAGCTGGCAACCATTGTAGGATAACCTCGCAGTTTCTTGCTTCCTACCAACCAAGACTGATTACTGAAGTTACTCCTCCTTGAGCTCCGTCTGAGACCTAAAGCACAAATAAAATGAATTTTTTCCAGTAAGGTTAACAATAACAATTTCCAAATCTTCATAAGATGACCAAATATTCTGTCTTTCAATCTTAACTACTCAACCCATGACATGACCTATTTACAAATGAAACGTTTTCATTATTCATACATCATAATACCACTACTACCCATACGCTACCTAATAATTCTAAATACATTTCTTAAGATCTCAAGGATTTTCTCTTTTCTTAAATAGTATTTCAAAGTGATAATCTGATAATGCCTTGAAGAGATAGCAAAAAATCAACACATCAAAACAAAGCCAAATGCCTTCCTAAAAGATTACTAACCTTCACCAACTTCCATGTGGCTGTTATGCTCTTCAATATCATCCCCATTCATCACAAATTCTTTCTTTATTGGGCTTTTCTCTTTTCTTCTTTCACCACGAGTTCGCCTTGTCTGTGTGCGACTAAATATCTCATCATCTGTGTCTGTGTCGCCCTCAATGGCTGCTAGCTCATCCCGTCTCCTTCGACTGGACCTAACCCGTGGAGTGTCTGCAGGGAAAAACCATTCAGTCTTGTGTCAACGTTATGCCAATTGGTCATCATTTACCTCTTTTATTATCGTTCTATATACAGAGATAGGTAAGTGAATTTCATAAAACTGTGAAGAAAAAGTACAAACTATCTTTACTTCCTATATAACTTATATATATTGACACAGAAAAAATACTGGAGGACAAATACGAAACTAAAATAATTTTACTCAGTCTTGATATGCATTACCAGAACCTTAATAAGGCAAAACCAAAGCCCCAACAAATCCTAATAAGCAATGCCAGTGAAGTTAAAGCAGCTTTCCCTTGGTTTTCAATAACTATATACAGCTGCAAAATGTACAGACAAGTTTAGTAATGCTTCTTTAAACAAAGGCCTGTGGATTTCTAGTTCTTTGTTATCACAGCATAAAAGCATGGTACTACAGAATAATGTTTAGTAAGAACTAGAAACTACAATACAAGTAAACACATAAGAAACTGTGGACTCTAATGCATACAAGCTTGCAACCTCCTCACTGCCAATATTTCTTGCAATATCATTATGCAGGCAAAGTCCTTATGAAACTCAACAAGATAGTCTACTTGTGGGAAAAAAAAAGAAAAAGTGCAAGGAAAGTAAAGTGATTTCGCTGAATCTAATAAAAAATATATCACTATCTTTAACCCCTTTCTGCCGGGAGGCATGTATATACATGCCATGGCTGTTGTGGACCAAGTAGTTGGTAGCATTGCACTATGACCATTCCCGTGCTGTCAGCTCACTGAACGGAATTTGTTTTTCTCCAAAAGCAGTGGTATTGTTTCTATGGAGAAACTTTTCAGAAATACAACAAAGTGAAAGTAAACCTTATTCATTTTTAATTTCTTATAATCTGATATCATTCTTTTAATATCAAATCATGTGTTTTGGTGCCTAATGTTGCCCAAAAACCAACAAATGAGCCGGGCACAAACAGGAAACTATTAATGCATGCCAACAACCCTACTCTAATGGCCACTAGCCAAAATTTGAACCCGGTGTTAATGAGAAGAAGAAGAAGAAGAAGAAGAAGAAGAAGAAGAAGAAGAAGAAGAAGAAGAAGAAGAAGAAGAAGAAGAAGAAGAAGAAGAAGAAGAAGAAGAAGAAGAAGAAAGAAGAAGAAGAAGAAGAAGAAGAAGAAGAAGAAGAAGAAGAAGAAGAAGAAGAAGAAGAAGAAGAAGAAGAAATATATATATTTATATATGTATATCTATATATATATCTATATATATATTTATATATATATCTATATATATATTTATATATATAATGAAGTCAATTCATTGAAAAAGAAACAATAACACTTGAGCAACTAATAAAAATACCTCTATTCAAAAACAATAAATAATAATAACAATAATAATAATAATGATAATAATAAAAATAATAATGACATTAACCCACTAGCGACGGTACATTTATAAGCTGAAAATAACAATTTCTGGGTGGCTTCAAAAATGGTGCAGGGGCAACAAAATTAGAGCACGAGCTCCAATCTGCCATCGCACTGGTGGGACACCAAGCAATGTTTACTTTCCGGGTGATTCATATGTAGGATACCCATCGTGAGTGAGTTAATAATAATAATAATAATAATAATAATAATAATAATAATAATAATAATAATAATAATGATAATAATAATAATGATAATAATAATAATGATGATAATAATAATAATAATAATAATAATAATAATAATAATAATATAATAATAATAATATTCTTATTAATAATAATAAATATAATAATATCAATAAATACGAATATCAGAAATGTGAATGAGAAGACTTGAGTAATATATAAATATATATAAATAGATGATGAAGTAAACAAATGAACAAGTGAATATAAATAAAGTTCTGGAATCATAACCAATATAAAATAAAACAAAAATATATAGCATAAAATAATGCAATAAAAGTAATAATGAAAAAAAATAATACAATATAAAAAATTATAACAATAATAACGATCATAATGATGATTTTAGCATACTAATCAAGCCAAGAAAGAAAGAAAAGACAGAGAGAAAAAAATCTATATTCTGCTTAATAACCACATTTGTTTTTACTATATTATAGAACCTAATAATATCATTTGGCCAAGTTATAAAAACATGTTAAAATCAACAACAATAATAATGATAATAATAACAATAACAATTATAATAATAATGATAGATTATAATGATAATCACAATAACAACAACGATAATAATCATGACAGTATTAGTAGTAGTGATAGTAGTAGCAGTAATAGTAGCAGTAGCAGAAGTAATAGTAATGTAATAGTAATAGTGGTATCAGATGTATGAAGTAATAATAAAAAATAATAACAACAATAATGACAAAGATGATAATCACCATAATCATGATACCAAATAAAAGGAAAAATGATGATAATGATAATGAAAATAATAATAATAATATTAAAAAAATAGACTTGGATCTACTCTGATAGTCATGATGATGAC